ACAGAAGTTAGGAAGCTCTCTGTCCATCATCAGTTTTCACCTATACCTACAGCAATCCCGAAGTCTTGCTCACCTCAGCAGCACTGCCTCATCATTTAATCATATTTCTCCATGGATAGGACCAAAGGTAGTGAGTCATTGCAGCAATGGAAAGCTTTTCTAAATAAAAGAATGACTAAATACTGGAATACATTGTCATAGGGAGGAGAGGGTATATTCAACCTTTCTAAGGACTCTGAGGTACAAATAGCTCAGCCAATTAAAAATTGTATTTCCCCCATTCTCCATCCCATGCCTTGCTTGGAAGTGCTGCTCCTGTATCATGAGTAGCAAAACCAGATGTGTGTGCAGGCTGAAATTACTACTGTTCAAAATCCAGCATCAGTGTATCTGTTTTCATTAACTAATATGTGGGATTATGAAGTGTGGTGCCTGAAATCCCAACACATAGTTACTTTTTCTGTTTAATTCTGGAGGGTCTGAGGACACAGGTCAGAGCAGCAGTGTGTCATACCTGTACAGCTCCTAACAACATCAAACAATGTCAACTATATCTCTATGGAGATTTTACTTGTCACAGTGTAAGACTTGCAAAGAGACTGGCAGAGATAGTTTTCATCATATTTACAGACAGCCCTCTGTGCAATCATTTTGTGTAAATAAGAAGCCTAGGATATTCTAAAGGAAATTAATCACTTAGATACTTCCATGCTATTGAAGGTTTCACATGTGGTGCAACATTGAGTTTCCTGTTTCAGTTATCATTTATCATTATACATTTACTGCTTCAGTATCTACCTTCTCATCTCAACTTTCTTCTATGCAGTCATCATCTGGGATAAATAGATTTTATTCTGCACTCCCAGAAACCCTTTTGGAGCTGTCTCATTTTGAAAGAGAAACAAGTATATTTTTAACATACATGTGTTCAGCATTATTCTTTTTAATCATAGATTCTTTAGGCTAATAAAAAGTAGTAAAGAGAATACAAACAGCCCAGAGAAAAAACAGAACCCTTCTGAAATCACCAATTGGGAGTTATCCAGCCTGAATCGAACTTTGCATAATATTAGGGCTGGATTTTGGAAAAACAGCATGAAAATTATTTTCCATATTTTCTCAGACACATTTTATCACTTCATGGTATTTGTTTTCTTTTTTTTTTTTTTTTTTACATTTACTATATTCAAACATGTGACCTGGAACCTTAGGGGTTTTTTTTGTGTCTTCCAGATGTACAAGGTACTGTCATAGCATAAATGAAAGATGTTCCACTTGAACCTGTCCTTTCATTTCAATACCCTTTTGCTATTTCAGATCTCCTTGACCTACTCCCCAGACCAGCTTGGAAACTTGTCTCTTTACTGGTTATTATTTCTTAGGGAACTTGTATTATTTGAAACTAATGTAGAGAGCAGCCAGCCTACAATTACTTATTTTTGCAAACAGTGTCGAAGAAGCAACATTTAATGTGAGTCACTAGCTGAAAATTCTAACAGCTTCCAAAATAAGAGAGTATCTAGTTTGTTTGGCAAAATTATTTCAAATGAACAACAGCTAAAGTTTTGAAAAGCTATGCTGTTCTGTGTTTGAGGTATGCAAACATGGCAAATGCCTGACAACTGTGAAGGAAAGGCACTGCGAGCAGGAGGTTGGGAACTGTGGTTTTCAACTTCAGAGGAATCATTTACATTCTTAATGGCAGCTCCTCAGATAAAGAGAAAGCAGCATTCTCTGAAGGGTGGCCAGCTGTTTAGGACTCAATAATCAGGCTTTTATTTGGCCTGCCTTCTGGAGTTGCTTCTATCACAGATAGTGATTCTGGCAAGCAAAATAAAGAGTTTTTATGTCATAGGATGAATTCTTGTAATAATTTCTAAAAAAATCCAACATAATTTTGTTTTGCAAAATGTCTGTTGGACATATATCTGTCTGGACTAGGCACTAGTGCATTTGTCAAGCATGAAAAACAATTTAGATTTTCATGTGGCTTACACTTCATTTTTTCCAGAACTGTCACCATGTCACTTAGTTATTTTCTTTAAATATTCAGATATGTTTGAGCAAAAATAATTGATGAATTCATCTGAAACCCAAAGGGCGAACAGAGATGGACAGAACCTTTTTATCTCTTCATGTTTCCCTCTCTGTTTATTCCAGAATAATGTGAATGGAACTGATTCCCCGTTCCCTAGACAGAGGAACTTCACTTGTACCGTAAGGAGGTCACACAGACAGCATAAGTAGAGCTCATTCTGGCCTTTAATTGGACTATGGAGTTCGACAGGAACCAAAACTGCAGTCATTAGTCCCAAGTCAAATCCTTCTGATTTTTGTGGAAAAGTGACTTGAACATGGATAGCGGAATTTATCCCTGTTACTCAACATTATCCTTTTTGAGGCCTGTACACCCTTTCTGATTTAATTTCTACACTTTTGAAATACTTCTTTTTTGTTTTTCTTGTTCAGCAAGAAGAATTTTCATGGATCAGTTTTCACAATTGTTTCCATGTTCAGAAAATACGGTTTATATCACCAAAAGATCTCCCTTTCTTCTATGAAAGTGGGTTTACTTTCCTTTCCGAAATACTTCCCTGTTCATATAGACAACCTGGAGACCTAGACTGATTCAGGATGATTTTCCAGGGCTACTCTGCTGACCATCAGCATATTAAACCTAATCTATTTAAGAAACCTCCAAGTGCCTGTGTTATCAGCCAAGGCAGAGAAGCAAATCCTATGCCCAAGTCCTTTAAAGGCTCTTTCTTTGAGGCAAAGGTTATTACAGATGACAAAAGACATATCAAAATTTGAATAAAGTTTAAATCTTGGGCTAGGGCTTGCTCTTTCGCCTTCGAAGTTAGTGGCACACCACTATTCATGTCTGTATGGATAGACTTTCTTTCCCAACAAACTAACATGGACTTGCTCACAGTGTGTATTGGAAAAAGTCCCTGCTCCATGGGATCCCACAGTTGTGTTCGGGAATTGCCTGGGAAAGTGCTACTTGGAACAGGCTTACTGTGCCAGGAAAAGGGCAATCAATTAAATATACATAGGCAACTGCACATAATTTATTAAGCCCATGTCCTGGTCCTGGTTGGTAGTTAGCACCTGAGGCAGTCTCAGGTCACAGTCCCCAGCAGAGTTCCCAGACTGTTGGAGGGAACAACGGTGCAGCCCTTCCCCAAAATTCCTTGTCTCTTCTTCTACTTGGACTTATGATAGGCAGAAATCCCTTAAGCATTTCCAAGTTGCTCTACTATCTTACTACAAACACAGTCTAGCATTTTGAAACAAACCAAGAAATTCTCTCGCTATTTTGCCATGAATGAACCCAGATGAGTGCTGAAAATAAATCCTTCCTTAACATAAGCTTTAGTATAAGTTAAATTTTCAACATCCTTCCAATTCCTCAACAATACATGTTGTCCCTATTCAGTACAGAGTAAATATGAGCAAAAAAGACACTGTTTTTCTTAGCAAATTCAGCCATCTTAATTCACCCTCTGAGTAATACTCCTGGCATCTTCTCTGATTTTCATCGTAATTTTTAGAGCTATGTGTAACTTTGTCCTTTGACATTTTACCTCACTTGACAAGTATTTGTCCCATCTTTTCCTTACGTTTTTGAACAACTTCTACTAATGTTTAAGGCCTCACATTAACCACTTTTACACTGGTGTTTTTATGTTTTGTATAAGTACTTCTAGCCTCTGTTTTTAGAAATTTCCTTTACTTATATTTACTCTTTGCCTAAGAGAGCCTCAGAATGGGTGCTCCACCTTCTCAAATCTGGGGAAACGGCATGCCATGGGCAGTACCAGGCACAGCATTACTGGAGGCAATGGAGGACAGAGCTGTCCTTTGTGTGCCATGGGATAGTCCTTGCTTTATGCAGGAGCTAAACTAATACAGATTGCTTTTAAATGTAGCTTTTGGCTTCTACACTATGCAGTAGTGCCCTCTGACAAACACCAGAGGACAGGGCCACTACTTTGTGTCCCACCTGGGCAGAGTCCTGTCAGCAGAAAGAGCAAATTGCTCTCACTTCCATTTCTCTGGAGGCCCAGGGGGGAGGGAGGCAATCAGCATTTCTGAGAATCAAGTTACTTGAATTTAAAAATCTGAATACCAACCTAGTTTCACATGCTATGACTTGAATGTTTGGTTTTACAGTATTTTTGTTTCTCTCCTAAGTTTTATGCTGGCTAGATGTGCTGTAATAAATAATTTAGGCTATTTTTCTGGGTTTCATTTTCTTTCTCCAGCATTATACTCTCTGTTCAGATGAAGCAATGATTTAAAAAAAATTAAAATTAAACCATCCATATCTCTTGTGTCTCCAAGTTTTTTTTCTTTTTTTAATAAGCAGATTTAAGTTTCTTAATCTTTCATCTTAAAAAAAAAAGAGAAAAATATTATTGGAAAAAGTTTTTATTTCATATGTCTTTTTCAAACTATAATAAATGGCTTGCTGCTGATGATGTTGAATCAAGGCTATCCGGTACCTGACACTTTGTTTTGTGTTTTATCTCCTCACAATAAGATCCAGCATTCTGTTTTTCCTCTTCATTTACACTGAATTTTTAGTTTGGAAAGATCAGATGTCTTAACAGCATTTTTGGTTTTTTCTTCCCATGTTCATTGTTTCAGTTTTATGCTTCTGAGGTAGAAATCCTTCAAGTTGTAATGAAGAATCCATATCCTTTTTCTATTCAATCAGTTTTGAGTTCTGATGGTCTCAGATATGCTAAAAGTTATACAATTTTTTAACAGTTCTACCAAACAGCATGATTAATAGATCATCCCTTGTTCTCAGATATGTTAGTTTTACTCTAATTTTGCATCACTGAGAAATTAGATTTCTATTTTTAACCTCTTTATTCACTTTCAATGAAAATCAGTATCATATTATTGTCCTTTCTCATATTTAACAAGCGAACAATGAATAATATTTATTACTCAGTAGAGTCAAAAGAATTTCAATAGATTCTTACCTGTAATTCTGCTTTTCATTTCCTATGTGAAATCTGTCATACTGTGAATATGCCCGGTTTCCTTCCCAGTCCATTAATTCAATTCTTAGAGAATATTGCCTCTGACTTGTTATTGCAAAGATAAATTCATTTCCCAGCCAATGTTCACCTGACGGGCTACCAAAACCCTAGAAAAAAGTTGGCAAAATAACTAGATGTAATTATTGTAATTGGTAGAATCTTTATACAATAATAAAACCATCATTATATTTTACCTATACATTCTAATTACTGCTCATAGCTTTCTATGCTCCTGTTTGACTACCTCTAAAATGAGTCTACTAATACGTACCGTGTAGGAGTGTCATGCAGTTCAACTGATATTTGAAAGGGCAGCTGAGGTTATCAGTTGAAAATCACTTTCCAATTACAAGATATTAATAGTATGATGCTGTATTTGCACATCCTTCAATGGGAATACTGGACATAGTCATATTCTATAATACATATCATATGGTGTTAGTTCTATTAAGACAATTAAGTCAAAACAGAATTCTGCTATACACTATAAAAGGTTAAAAGGAGTTTAAATTAGCCTAGATTATACACTGAATTTAAGTTAGCTGTGGATGATAGCTCAGGATTTAATCTCTAAAGAAGAGTGGACCATTCCTCTGCTGTCGAGTATTTGCCACAACTGAAGGAAGGAGGGGTTTAGTTTAAAATCTTCTGTATCTAAGACCTGCTGGACAGGGCAGTGTCTGTGAGTGATCCTCAGTTGTAACATTTATTTACTTCATTCTTGGTCCACTAAAGCTCATATTGGCTGAGATTTTGGCTACTACAAAGTTTTTTTTTTTCTCACCCTGCTGAGATGAAATAAGATATCTATATATGTTTTGATACTTTGAAATCTTTAACTCAAGGAGTTAGGAGTATTTCTATAGACTACCCAAAGCACAGGAGAGGGTACTGTAACTTTATGTTCTAAGAATGAAAAATAAACAGCAGTAAAATATTTAAGGTCCATAACTCTCCTCACATTTCATATATTCAGATGATCTTATTTCCAGTTAAGCAAAGTATACAATTTTCAAACATGGAAAAATAATAATAAAAGACAAAGTATAACCAGTTTTCAAAATGTATTCCTAGACTTATATTTTTGTGCATATTCCAGGTTCTAAAGTTGTTTAAATTTTAGTGAATATTTTACTACATTAAATTTAAGGTTTTATTTAATGTCAATAATTTAATTTACTATATATTAAAATTATTTTTCTTTATAAACTATTAGTTCATACCCGAGAAATCTTAGCTCTTTTTTTGTTCTCTTTAAACAATAAAAATTATTTTAAACCGTAATTTTTACTTGTGAAGAACTATTTCAACATGACTATGCCTATTCATATTTCTTAAGCTAGGAAAAATGGGAACAGGAAATCTGCTGGTTTGCTTGCAATGATGTGCTGGGAGTGTTTCAGAAGACCCTTGTGAAAATTTCCTGATCAAATTAAATGAAAGATTGGATTATTTTCTTTCGTGTGATAAAAACCCACCCTCTGTTACTAAGCTATGACTGCCAGATATAAGAAAGAAATAAACAATAAAACAATCCTGGTTTTGGAATAGCTTAGGCTGTATCCAATCTCAAATACTTTCCTTTGTCATTCATTATAGGAAGTTACTTTCCCTCTGCACTCCCCATCATGGTATTTAACAGACAACATTTGCTCTCAGATCATTAATTAAACCATGCGATCTGCCATTGATTGAGTCAGTATAATTTTCAGGAATAAGTTTAAACATTTCCAGAAAGTGCATATTTTTTAAAGGGGGGTTAAAGTTAAGTGAATTCCTTGGGACTAGAAGTTAGCTAATGGGAAATGTGTCTGTGAGACACATTGGCAAGAAATCGATCTCTATATGATGTTTCAGTCACATCCTAAGGTGAGATGGAAACACTGAAAGTACAGCCCTCTCTCTCTTTTGTTCTTTATTGCATTGCCCTAGCTCCAGCCCTGACTAGTTGGGTCTGTTGAGGACAAAATCCTGCCTCCCCAGAGGCCATGCGGCAGCTGAGTGAAGCTGCAGTATAGCTAATACTTCACTCAGGCAATACATAGGTATACCAGCTGCAAACTTCTAAAGAAACTTAATTTTAAAAAATTAGAAGCTCAAAAGTTTATGACTGGATCAAAAAAATATAAAATGGAGGGATTTTTTTGTTGTTTCTACAGGGAATTACATTAGAAAACACTCTACTCAGGAGTCATTTATGTTTTAACTAGCCTACCTGAGCAGATATTTGGTGCTCCCTGATACTAGAAGCTGAGAAGACATGCCTCGTTTGGCTATGCTGAGCTTAGTACACTAGGTTATGTTTCGCATAAGCATATCTGACTTTTGGCTCGGAGACCATCAAGTGATACACGTGGACAAAGTGTTTAGTCTGCGAGAACTGAAATTCGGTAGTCTGTGGTGAGTCTCCGAGAAGCCTCAAACTGAAATATGGGAGGATACTATTAGCTGGCTTTTCCTTTCCTGCACATTATTTCATTATATACTCTTTGTCAAGTAGATTATTTCATATGTAAGTCCCTGTAAATAGTGGTTGCAGCTAATACTGGTGATATCTTGCTTTGACCGCATCAGTTTTCCAGTGTGAGCTCCTGCTCCTCAAGTTTTCCCATGATGATGCTTCTGTATCTCTCACCTACTGCTTTGATCGCATTCGCATGCATATTTGGCTTCATACATACTTCCTAAAATACAAAAGCTTGTTCCTCACCTGCATAAACCCTGTCTACAGCTGACATACCCTTCTGTAGTTTTCATTGTTTTCTATCTATTCCTTTGATCCTTTCCATCTCCTTGCCTTGTCTCTCTGCCCTATGACTGTCACACATGGTCTCTCCCGTTCTAGCAGCTTTGGCAGTGTCATACCATAGTCGTCAGAGGTTTGTCTCTGACATCCTCTTTCATCAGTGGTCATTGCCACTTGTCTCAGAGGAAAGGAAAATATGCTCTGCTGTGACTACCTGACAGGCAGTTTGTGTCCCTAAAATCCAGAAGGCAGAAATTGGAGCATAGGTGTTTATATACCAGCCAAAGTACATTTCTTTGCAGTCTACATGGTTTCTTATTCACAGAAGATATATTATTATTATTCTTATCAGCTGTCTCACTTTAAAAGAAGATTTTCAGGAAATCCTTTCTCCCTTTTTCCCAGCCCTGGCAAGCTGAGGGGACTCCCCTTTGAACTGTGGCTCTATTGAATTATATTTGTCTTATCTTATTTAGATTACAGCCTATTCAGGACGTAATACATGTGGCTTTTTTAACATTATGTGTTCCCATATGTGTTCTATATAAACTCCAGACACCATATATAATTATTCTGAAATAATAATAATTTTTCTTCTTCGCATTTACACTTCCTTCTCCCTTTTCGCATGTGTTATTACACTAAGATGAAAATCTATCACTAAGTGGTTTGCTCTCCTGACCAGAGGAAATGAAGTTGCAGCAAAAGGGAACAGAAGGAATATAAAAAGGAATATAAAAAATTATGAGGAAAGCCACCGCATTAGTTACAAAAAACTGAATCCTACTATAACAAGCTACAATACTGAAACTCAGATTAGAAATGCCTAGACTAAGAATGATTTTTTTTTTCTGGTCAGGAGCAACTTCTTTTTAAACAAACTTCTTGTTCTTATGAAAAGAAAACCAAGGAAGTAAGTTGAATATAAAACATATCTCTGAAGCAAGGAATGTTCCTACTTCTCCTAAGGAGAAGTATGGTATTTTATTAAACACCTAATATGGCTGGGAAAAGAAATAAACAAACAAACAGGCACTCAGAGCTTTCATAGATCTAAACCAGAGAGGAGCAGTACACTTCTGTTAAGCACAGAGTTGGGAACAATTTCTTCAAGTATAATTTTATTATGCCAAACTCAACTGTTTCCGACCTGTATTTAGTCTGCAGTTTACTGCCTTTATTTCAGACCTGAAGAAAGACTTGCATGCTTGCTGTTTTTCCCAGATACTTTGACTGACTTAATAACTACACAGTTTTCCTTGTTTGTATCTTAGTTAGACTGTCGCTGCTACAAGAACACTACTACTTTGACAAGATATGTAAGATGTTGTATGCATTAGCCCAAAAAACCTGAAAAACATGATTTAACTTTTTGTTTCCATTCCCAAGCCTGAGGTTGGCAAAGAAAATAATGTGCCATGTTCTTTTGATTTACCTTCAAAATCTTTAGCCTTCAAAGTGCATTTCAGAATTTTATCTTTAAATACAAAGTCTTTTTTTTTTTCATCAGCCAGAAAACTTAAGGAAACAAGCTTGTGCAATTTTTATGCCCACCTGTCCTTTATTTTCGTGCAATACTTTTTGAACACTTTTGAGGTCGGGATAGAAATCACACAGACCTGAAGTTCAACAAGGTTTCAGGAGAACTGGTGCCTGGGATGAGCTGCTGCTGGGAGAAATGCTGAAGCAGAAGCTCAGCAGCTGCCTATTCCAATTGCCTATCAGCAGGCGCAGACCAGCCAGCCAAGCTCAGACGCTGAGCATGTATTGCCTCGGAGGACCTTTAGACATCTGGGAGAGATTTGAGGGACATAAAAGGGGAACTCAAGCTATTGCTACAGAGAATCTTAGAAAATAATAGGGATTCGGAAGATTTTTAGTAACAAGAATGGGACTTCTCTATGGGACACAGGACAAAAATCCACAGAAAAGCAGATCTCATTAATTTTGCTGTTCATGAGACAATTCAGTAATTGTTCAGTAATGAAAATTCAGTAATGAAATCCAAGCATTTTGGTTAACAGAACACTTATGTTTACACTGCTGCTCAAATCTCTGGGGTCCCAAGTGATAAGATGCCTTCAGCCTTGCCTTAGACTGTGCTTGTCATCTTCTATGGACAAGGAGTTTTGTTTTGACAATGCCTTAAGGCATAGTGTTAAATCTTAAAAGTTAACATTAGGAGTCAACTATTCCAGACCCATAGCTATATTGAAATGTGTTTGTTTCCCAGTACCTATGTACTCTGTCAACATAGTCATTGTTTTTTGCATTCATGTTGCTATAGCAAATATTTCCAGAATTATTTGTGTTAAAGTTTTGTACTTAAACTCAAGGAAGTACATGAGGTGATCCAAGTCA